ACCCAGAGTTTTCGTTAACTCAGGGTATACTTACTCAGTTTTTCCACTAAACCGGCTTCCTGGAACAGGGCCCTGCTCTTTTCCAAGCTAACATTAGCTAGTCTTTCTCACTGTTGATAATGGCACTCATGAGTGCAAGTACAGAAACTCTAATCCAAGTCCTTAACATAGAAATAACTCCAAAAGCTCTTAGGGGAAACTGTGAGAGTCAGCTACGGTCTTATTTTTCTAAGCACATTACCAATAAACAGGATTTAATACAATGAAAAAGCTGCCCAACACACATTTATTTAGTAAATGAACAATATAAATCTTAATTATGCCAACAGGAATGAACCTTTTGGCATAATTAATATTTCAAACATGCAACAGAATTTTCTTTATGAAACCACATATCCAATAAAAAAATTAATTTCCATAATTTTAACCACCTTTTGTTGTTTTTATTACTTATTTAATTAATACAAAGTCATCTGCAGCAGTCGTGATAAGAAAGCAGTTTGATTTGGCAAAGAAAAGCTTTGTTTCTGATTCATGTACAAACTGTTAAATGTTTACCGTTTATCACTGTTACTGCAACAAATTCCATTTTAAACATAAGAGTGGGACTCACTCCCATCGTGTTCCTTACTGTCATAGACTGGATTTACCTGATAAGTATGGTGGGTGGCCCTGAGAGGTCAGAGACAATGCAACTTAAGAAAACACCACCAAACATAAAAATACTCTGGTAGCACACAAAACACAATAGAAGTAAAAAACAAACAAACAAAAAGGACCAAAATCAACACGCAACACAAAATAGGAGTGTTTTTTAGGGAGACAGAACAGCTAAAATTATTGCAAAATAAGCCAAACCCATCTGTTCTCTGATTGGATTGTTTAATTTGTGATTGACATGACATTGACCAATCAGCTTAAAGGAAGAAAAATAGGGTCAAAATTCGTACTTGTAACTTGCAGGGGTTTTTTTTGGGCTAAGTCCACACACAAATCTTTTTGTCCACACACAAATCTTTTTTACGCACGCACAAATCTTTTTTACGCATGCACAAATTTTTTTACACATACAAATCTTTTTTACAAGTACAAAATATTTATGACCACATTTTGAGCCCATAACTATGAGGACTGCCTCGTTTGTAGAGCCTAAAATGGCCACTAAAGGAACTACAGTGTTTGGCACTTGGCCACTTAATTCATTTTAGTTCTGGAGTTTAATGCACCTAACATCTCATCAAGCTGTACTTATTCGTTTCCATGACAACAGAAAAAAATGTTTTCTTTCAGTAACCACAATCTTCCTTTAATATGAAAATCCTGAATCCAAGAAAACAACTTTTCATTAGGTTCTACAAAACTGGTGGTTGATGGAAACAGTATCACCCCTCCAAGTAAACAACAAATATATAATATAAAGTAGTTTGTGTGTGGCAAAGTTTAACTAGAAAAAAAAAGACATTTTGAATGTGCCAGTGCAATGCGTGTTATATAGCTGGACCACATACTAATTTTTCATGATCCTGGAGATATTTATATGGACACGGCTGCAGGAAAGGGATGGTATTCTTCAGATTTTCAGCTGAAATTTGGAAACCGTTTATAATGGGCCTCACTAGAAGAGAACCTGGAGGACACAATAAGCTCTGAGGTGATTTGTATCAGAACAAGAGTAACATTAGGTGAAAGCATGATAGAAATCCCAACATTTAAGTGTGCACTTTGTGACTATAGAGGCATGAAACAACCAGAAGACCATGTCAGAAATCCAGGCTGAGAATTCAGAATGATTAATGTCATCCGACTGTGGCTGCACAGTCAAGGGAAAACTATTTTTCATCAAACCTGAACTGTGACTTTGATAAACATGATTCACTTATTACAAGTCTAACACCTGATGAGACCTGTTGAAACTTGGAATGACACATGATCAAATATGCCAGAAAGCTAGTGCATAAGACCAAATTTATTCTCACTTTCATTAACATGGCAGGATAAATTACAACACCTTATGAATTCTATGAAAACTGTGCAACAAATTGCTACCGAGAGTCACACCAGACCTTTGCGTTTTATCAATGCTGTGGGAGACGTATTCTTTCATTTCTACCACAGTTCAGCATAACAAACAGAATCAACATTGCACATAGTACACAGCGTACTTCAGTAATTTGATTGGCACTGTCAAATACTGTCATGTTACAATTAATCAATGTGTCCAAATGTTACCCAGAGTTGTCCTTATTATAAGCAATCCAATACAGATAAAGTCTAATGAGAAAGAGAAATTTTTATTTAAAAAAAAGAAACAAAAAAAAGGGGAGTGTGCAAATTAAACATGAAAATCTGTAAGACAGAACAAAGTAAAGCATCTTTCAGCTCAACAGAAACAGCATGCATGACAGCAACACTTCCAGACCAAACTAGATTCATCTGTCAAAATACTGGCTCTGTGCTCCAATCACTCTGTTTGGGTTGGCAGCAAGCTTGAGGTCGTGTTGAGACTCTGACGCTTTCCGTTTACTCTGCAGTAAACCGTGCAAGAGTTTAGTCCGAGAACACGAAGTGAAAAACTTTGAAAGCAGCTGCATTCGGTTCCTTGTAGCGCCTACTGTGACAGTTTGCTATCACACGTGTCCTGAGTGTAACTCGACTCCAGTCGTACTTATGGCGGTGTTCCTCGGGGCTTTACTCGAGGCCCAGGGAGAAATTAATGCCGTGAACGATACCAATGATGATGGGTTGCCAAGCAACCAAATATCTGAGCCAGTCGAGAAGCTGCCCGTAAAGGACATGCGTCTTCTCCCAGCTGGAAATTGAGGAATTAAGGACAAAAATCATGTTTTCTAAACAAATGTCAGGGGTGCGCTGTACTGATAAAGAACAGTGAAATCAAATAAGTAAAAGCACATTATGTTGAATGTTACAAGGACAATGTTAATAGTTTATGCTTTTTCAGTTATTTGGAGATGACTTGCTTCATAGAAATCACTTTCTATGAAGATCTTAAGAAGTTTCTACTTTTTTGTTCATTAATTCAATGTTATCTTTTCTTTAAAAAAAAACAAAACAACATATAACAAACCCCCCAGCAATACTTCAATTGTCAGCCCTTAATGGACAGCAAAAGGATACGGGTTGTTCATCATCCTCTTCAAGTCAACCTTCTCATTGCAGTAAGGACACGTCTGCTTTTTACCCACAATGCACCAGCCACGGATGCAGAACTCGTGGAACCTATTGGTTGAGGATCGAGTTAAGGCCGAAAGAGCAACCTGTTTACTGAAATAAATCATCATCATATAAACTCCATCTGTGTAACTAAAGCCATTTTGACTTACAGGCGGCTCCCTGACATAGGCAGCTGTAGCTGCTACTTTTCTGCTAAGCTTGGCTAACTAAAGTCACTGAACCAGACCTCGAGCGTGTTTTTTCACTTTTGGAGCATTTGAATGTATATCAAATAATATCACTTGCTGTGCAGTTAAGAGGCCATCCAATAAATTTGTCCTTGAAGCTAGCAAGCATGAAAGTTAGCGTAACACTCCACCTCTAATATTCTTCAGTTCAAAAAGATGATGGAGACGATGATGGAGGACTCAATCCTACCTTTGCCCCATGTGACCTAACAATTCACATGTGAATGGGGCAAGTTAGGGTCTCTCAGGAACACCTCCACGGATGGTTAAATAACTGGGACTCCCCGTCAGCTGTTGGAGCTGAAGAAGCCCTTCAGATTAGAGGTTAAATGTCTTCAAGAACCTTAAAAGAAGTCGAGCTGCCCTCGATTTAAGCACTTAAGATTACCTGGACCTGGGGATCTATGCAGATATATGTCAAGATCCTTTGAAATTATAAAAAGCCTTTGGACCTGTAGGAAACAACAGGACTTTAGGATACAAGTGTCCACAGGAGAGCTGGTAGGTGTCTTCTATAAATCCTTCCTCCTCCACGTTCACCAGGATCCTCTGACCACAGACCGCACAGATATCATTGGTTAGGCTCCTGCTGGGCATGCCACCCTTGTTGTAGTACTGAAAACGCACAGGTGCAACATCAGCAGGCATACACATAAATGTTGTTATTGTTTTGTGTTTTACTTTAATTGATTTATATACACAAACAACAGTCAAGTTTCTGTAGCCATTTTCTTTCAAAACTGTTTTTGATTGTGTTTGTGTTAAACTTCAAAAATGATGACAGACTCTAAGACTATGTGTAGTGTTTGCAAGCACTTAAGCTTAAATTTAATTGTACTTTAAAACACTGTTAGCTTTATTTATTCACAAACTACCTGAAGGCTGCTATGTTAAACTGGGAGGGCAAAAAACGTGTTTTACCCCGATTGTAGAAGCCATGCAGTCCGAGCAGATTTCAGCAAAGTCTCTGCCCATGACGCCGTAGTAAAGTCCATAAAACAGCATAATCACACCAACATCCATCGAGTCCTCTGCTTTGATCCTGTACAAAGAGAAAAAGGAATAACTCAGTTATTTAGCTGTACTCATGTCAGTACAGCTAATTTAACTGTACTCAATGGAACTGAGAGACATTTAAATGGAGCTTTGTAACTACCACTTAGTATCCAAAAAGCCACTAAAGAGGCGTTACACTGTATCTGATGGTAGTCTGTCCTGGACATGTAAAAGGTGAAAGATCAACTGTTTGACAGCTCACTCAGCCAAAATCATATTTAAGATGTTAAGACCACAGTTTAATCAAATTAACCACATCTTCAACTCTTGACCCCTCAGTCACCTGATTTATTAAACTTTAATCTGTTTAAAACATGCAAACATTTACCTTCACAGCATGAATATTTTCTAAGCCAGTTAACCTAGACAAGAGGTGGATTAGCATTTTGTTGCTTTTAATTATGTTTCCTGTATCCTTTGGCCTGCTGGATATCTTAAGCAAGGGGATACCCACATCTGGACTGAAAGTATGCTTGAGGTCTGTTAAAAACCACAAGCACATCAACTGCAAAGTCTAGTTTGTATCATGGATGCTCTCTTCATGATTTGTTTACCTGCCTGTTCAACTTGTGATAAATGTATGGGGACATGAAGGGACATTTATATCCACTGTATCGTCCTCATATACTGGTTCAGAACTGATTTTTCATAGAGTGACTCTGAACTAAAACGTTTCAATACTTCCATTGAAACTGGTTTATTTGTGTTTTGTCTCACTATCTTAAACTCTTCCATGCAGTTGAAATCTCAAATAAAACATAACTCAGGGAAACTCAACCGGAAGTCAACACTGTAGCACCCTCTACAGTTCACTGCTACACTTGAGTGGCACTGGTAGCTTTCTGCATGTTTAGCCCATTCTGGAAATGAAACTCAGTGCAAGTGAAACTTAATGAAGTGAAACTTAATGAAGTGAAACTTAATGAAGTGAAACTCAGTGGAAGTGAAACTTAATGAAGTGAAACTTAATGAAGTGAAACTCAGTGAAAACAGAAAGCTCAAAAATAAAATGTATTTACAAAGTACACAACTCCAATAACTTGAGTTTCTGACAGTGTGTGAAGCAGACTGTGTGTCGTTGCTCTAACTGCTCTACATTTGGATTTCTGAAAGCTTTTTGTTTTAATACTTTCAGTGTTTAACAGCCACTATTGTATGAACAGTGGCTCCATTGTGCATAAAGGTTTTGTCAGGAAGGGCATTCAATTCAATTTTATTTATATAGCCCCAAATTACACACAACAGTTGCCTCAAGGCACTTAATATAGTAAAGTAAAGATCCTACAAGAATACAAAAACCAGAAAAAAGCCAGCAATCATATGACCCCTTATTGGCAAGCATTGGAGACAGTGGGAATGAAAAACTCCATAATACAGGGAGTGCAGAATTATTAGGCAAATGAGTATTTTGTCCACATCATCCTCTTCATGCATGTTGTCGTACTCCAAGCTGTATAGGCTCGAAAGCCTACTACCAATTAAGCATATTAGGTGATGTGCATCTCTGTAATGAGAAGGGGTGTGGTCTAATGACATCAACACCCTATATCAGGTGTGCATAATTATTAGGCAACGTCCTTTCCTTTGGCAAAATGGGTCAAAAGAAGGACTTGACAGGCTCAGAAAAGTCAAAAATAGTGAGATATCTTGCAGAGGGATGCAGCAGTCTCAAAATTGCAAAGCTTCTGAAGCGTGATCATCGAACAATCAAGCGTTTCATTCAAAATAGTCAACAGGGTTGCAAGAAGCGTGTGGAAAAACCAAGGCGCAAAATAACTGCCCATGAACTGAGAAAAGTCAAGCGTGCAGCTGCCAAGATGCCACTTGCCACCAGTTTGGCCATATTTCAGAGCTGCAACATCACTGGAGTGCCCAAAAGCACAAGGTGTGCAATACTCAGAGACATGGCCAAGGTAAGAAAGGCTGAAAGACGACCACCACTGAACAAGACACACAAGCTGAAACGTCAAGACTGGGCCAAGAAATATCTCAAGACTGGTTTTTCTAAGGTTTTATGGACTGATGAAATGAGAGTGAGTCTTGATGGGCCAGATGGATGGGCCCGTGGCTGGATTGGTAAAGGGCAGAGAGCTCCAGTCCGACTCAGACGCCAGCAAGGTGGAGGTGGAGTACTGGTTTGGGCTGGTATCATCAAAGATGAGCTTGTGGGGCCTTTTCGGGTTGAGGATGGAGTCAAGCTCAACTCCCAGTCCTACTGCCAGTTTCTGGAAGACACCTTCTTCAAGCAGTGGTACAGGAAGAAGTCTGCATCCTTCAAGAAAAACATGATTTTCATGCAGGACAATGCTCCATCACACGTCCAAGTACTCCACAGCGTGGCTGGCAAGAAAGGGTATAAAAGAAGAAAAACTAATGACATGGCCTCCTTGTTCACCTGATCTGAACCCCATTGAGAACCTGTGGTCCATCATCAAATGTGAGATTTACAAGGAGGGAAAACAGTACACCTCTCTGAACAGTGTCTGGGAGGCTGTGGTTGCTGCTGCACGCAATGTTGATGGTGAACAGATCAAAACACTGACAGAATCCATGGATGGCAGGCTTTTGAGTGTCCTTGCAAAGAAAGGTGGCTATATTGGTCGCTGATTTGTTTTTGAATGTCAGAAATGTATATTTGTGAATGTGGAGATGTTATATTGGTTTCACTGGTAAAAATAAATAATTGAAATGGGTATATATTTGTTTTTTGTTAAGTTGCCTAATAATTATGCACAGTAATAGTCACCTGCACACACAGATATCCCCCTAAAATAGCTAAAACTAAAAACAAACTAAAAACTACTTCCAAAAACATTCAGCTTTGATATTAATGAGTTTTTTGGGTTCATTGAGAACATGGTTGTTGTTCAATAATAAAATTATTCCTCAAAAATACAACTTGCCTAATAATTCTGCACTCCCTGTATAGTGAAAAAAATCTGCCAGAACTACGCAGATCTACTTACTGTGGTAACTGCTTGTGAATAAAAGAACAGCCCAAATTAGCTTTGAATGAACTCTGTGTGATTATACACGTTCATTAAGAGCTGAGCTGTCAGCACTGACTCACCTGAAGAAGACGTTGAAGCCGAACATGGTGAACATGATGGCCATGTAGCCCAGAACCCCGACTGCATAACTCAGCTTGTAGATGAGCAGAAACCACTTGTAGACCATCCTGGAAATTCAAAGAGACAAAGACAATAGTTGTCTTGTTAGTTATCATTCACCATGACACACTGTATGTGTCACTGGACACATCTGCTTTGAATAAAAAGGGTTTTAAAATTAGGAGCTAAAGTTCTAATTGGTTTTGCTTTGTTAAATTTTATGTATGTATATCTTTTTATTTGCCTTTGTTTTGCAGTTTTCTGTTGGTTTTATGTTTTTCATCTTATTATAAAGTATAAAGCCAAAAAGGGCTCACAAGTGTATAAACCGAAAATACTTATTTTTAAAGCTTAAATTCTACATTATTTATAAACATAATGACCCAGATGTCTACAACTGTAATGGGTCTCTATTTCTAAACTGTATATTAATTAGCCAAAGGATAAAATACGGTGTAATTGTATGTAAGTTGCCATACCTCAGATAATCCGTTGTGAAATCTTTGGTCTTTTCTTTGTTGCAGTAAAATAAACTCTTTAGTTTGTCTCCACTGTTCCCCTTACCTCGGCGTCCTGCAGGACAGCGGCTTGCGGGTGGCTCTGAAGATGACGTAGCTAGTGATGACGGAGAACATCCCCCACATGGACAGAAAACGCCACCAGTACAGTTTGATGGTGAAGTAAAGAGGAACCACCCACATCTGGACCAGAGTCACCAGCTGTTGAGGACAGAGACAAAGTCCATATTCAGTATCAGACTAAGCCTGCTGCATACAGTGGTGCGAATGGAAAATAGCACGTTTCTTCTCTCCCAGAGGACCAAGTCCTTTATACAACATCCTCCATTTACCCAGTCAGACAAACTAAACTTTAGCTGCTTTTTCACTAACATTCACACACACATTAACAGCAATTTGGAGTCTCCATCTTTCCCAAGGATAATTGCCTGAAGCAGAGTAAATACAACATGAATTATTTAAATTATTTCCAAAAGTTATCCAAACCTACCTGGCCATATGTGAAAAACTAATTGCCCCTTATCCACATAACTGGTTGTGCGACCCTTATGGGGAAAAAAAACACTGCAAACAACTAACTGCCAATGAGCACCATGGAGGAATTTTGGCCCACTCTTCTTTGCAGAATTGTTTTAAATCAGCCTTGATGGTGGGGTTTTGAGCATGACCTGTTTAAGGTGAGGCCAAAGCATCATGACTGGATCATGTCCAGACTTTCACTGAGCCCAAAACCCCAAAACCTTCAATTTGGTGTTTTTGGAATCAGTCACTCGTGGATTTGTTCTGCTGCATAATTGAACTAAGCTTAACTGGACATTATCCTTCAGGATTTTCACCTGCAGATGGGGAAACAGCATTGTTGTACATCACTGCTAGCAGGAGTGAGTATATGCTAACAGCTGCAGTTAAGCTTACATGTGCAGAATGACACTGACACTGACACAATAAATGCTTGTAAACAAGTGTAGGGTGACTTGTTTCCTCTGGAGGATTTCCTTTGTGAGAAAATAACATTAGTAATGTAGTTAAGGCTATAAAACAGGCAAAAAGATTAAGTTTTCTCAGGAGCCTGAGAAAACTTAATCCTCAATATTAAAATATAAAAAAATTGTTTTATTACTTTGTACTTACATGAATAACAATGGCACCAGGCAAATAAAGACAAACATCCTGTGCATAAAACCTTGCAGCTTCTAACCACAGCTGATGCCAACTTTATAATAGGTTTCACACAGGAAAAGGTACAGCAGAAACGTTCAGGACGTGGCCAAATTTATTCTGAAACCGCCTCCTCTAGCTTCTTTCCATCATCAGAGGACAAGAAACTTTTGATCATTTCTACAACTGAAAATCTGACATTTGGCTTTACAGAAACCTCACCATGTGGCTTGTGCTTACCATACTCAACTTTACAACTTCTACTGCATGCTTAAACTTTTGTTAGTATGGTCATGATGCACATGGTTAAAGCTGTTAACACTCCTCACTTTAACTGCTCAAATGATTACGCAGAAATCAATTTGAGAATTTTAGTGCGCAGGAAGATGGTGGTGAATGACTGACTTTTCTTCTTGTTAAAGCCGTGTCACTGCACCTGAGCCTAAAAGGTAGTCTGAATCTATTTTTCTGGTGTGCTGTAGGTTATTGTTATGTACTACATTTGTTACTCATTTATGAAGCACAGTACATGTTTCGTACTTGTAATTACCGCTACTTGTACATATACCTAAAAAGTTATGCAAATATGTACCCATAACTTGTTTTTCAAAATATTAATAAAAGGGGTTTTGTTCTACAAGATGTAAAGAGGGGAAGAGGAGGGGAGGAAGAAGATCCTCTCACATCCACACAGAGTGCACTAGGAGGTCTGCAGAGAGAGGTAAGGCGTGACACACCCACAAGGTCCTGATCTCCACTGCCTCAGGCAGCGAGCCACATCTCAGCTCTGAGCCCTGGAAGTCAGAGGGGGATGCTGACATTACCCCAGAATGTAGCAGGTTTCAGCCACGGAGAACACCAGGAGTCCAGATAGAGACACTTTGTCCCCAAAGCCCAAAAGATCTTTTCTTATTGTTTTTTGTTACTGACACAGTCAGTACAGATTTGTGCAAACACAAACAAAAATGCTGCAAATAAATAAATAAAAAATAAATAAACAAAAATCATCATTTAGGAAAAAAATACAAATGCACTGAGACAGAACATCTCTATCAGTTTTTTGGTCTCCTGATTTACATGTCACTTGTGTCACTTCCAATCTCAGAGATTACTGGAGACAGA